TGCGCTCACCCAGGAGATCATCCGGGTCGACCGTCCCGCCACAGGTGGTAAGGGTGAGGGCCTGACGGAGCAGACCTTCAAGAGAGACATCATCGGTCACTGCAAAGACTCGGACTATGTACCTGAGTTACTTCCTGGTGGTACACGCAAGGATCTGAAGCCGCTGAACGTGGTTCAGCCCGAAGGTCCGTCCTTCCGCATTACCGAGGAGTCGCTCGTAGAGTGGCAGAAGTGGCGGTTTCGCGTGGCCTTCAATCCCCGCGAGGGTGCTACCATTCACGACGTCTGGTACGATGGCCGCAGTGTGCTTTACCGACTGAGTGTCAGTGAGATGGTAAGTACATTTGACCAACCGTACGGATCATTAGCTGACTCGATAGACTGTACCCTACGCCGATCCTCGCCCTCCGTTCCACCGCAAGCAGGCGTTCGACTTTGGTGATGGTGGTGGTGGTAACATGGCCAACAACCTCTCAATCGGATGCGATTGCCTCGGTGTTATCAAATACTTTGATGCCGTGATGACGGGGGCTGATGGTTCGGCCAAGAAGATGCCTAACGCTATCTGCTTGCATGAGCAGGACAACGGTATTGGCTGGAAGCACTCCAACTGGCGGACCGGTCGCGCAGTGGTGACCCGTCACCGTGAACTGGTCGTGCAATTCATCATCACCCTGGCTAACTACGAGTACATCTTCGCCTACAAGTTCGATCAATCGGGTGGCATCACGGTCGAGTCGCGCGCCACAGGTATCTTGAACGTGGTCAACATCGACGCTGGCAAGGTTAGCGAGTACGGCAACGTCGTCAGCGGTGGTGTGCTAGCCCAGAACCACCAGCATATCTTCTGTGTGCGCATTGACCCAGCTATCGATGGGCCCAACAACTCGGTGCAGGTGGAAGAGTCCCATCCAGTGCCCATGAACGCCATGACCAACCCGAACGGTAACTTCTACAAGGTCAACACAGAGACCATGGAGCGCGCTGGCTTCTTCGATGCCGCGCCGGAGCTTAACCGTACTGTCAAGATGGTCAACCCTCACAAGAAGAACCCGATCAGCCAGAAGCCCGTTGGATACAAGTTCATTCCGCTGGCGACACAACGACTACTGGCCGATCCCAACTCCATCCAAGCGAGACGCGCACAATTTGCGCAGCACCACGTGTGGGTAACCAAGTACCGCGATGGCGAACTCTATGCCGGTGGCCGGTACACGCTCCAGAGTCAGGAGGAAATCGAGGGTGTGTCGGACGCAGTGAAGCGAGGTGATTCCGTGGTGGACACGGATGTTGTGGTTTGGAGCACCTTTGGCATTACCCACAATCCTCGGGTGGAAGATTGGCCTGTGATGTGAGTGTTCCCTATACTATCTACTATGGCAGCATGCTAACTAGATTAGGCCTGTTGAGATCTTCCAGCTGATGATCCGACCTGCGGATTTCTTCACCGCTAACCCGTCGTTGGATGTTCCATCCGATAAGAACGTCTCTTCGCGGGTGGTCGGCAACGACTGCTGTCGTAATGCACACATCTAAGATTTGGTAGTACTATTTTTTGGACATGAATGACGATTACAATGTACTTATATAGCTGAGATTCACACATGCTGGAGGGGATCCGGTACTTCAATGATATATATATTGGATGGATTTGAGTGATCGTGTTACGAATAAAGGTACTACGTACTTAGCTACCGCACGACCCACAGGATTACGATAGTCTTATCAGCCTTATGCCCGATCGATTGGCGTAATGATCAATAGAATAGTACAGCCGACCCAATGTGTCCTAAATGTGGTGGCCTGGGGCTAAGAAAGAAACTCCGCTCCGCCGACCTCGGATTGCTCGGAATGAAATTTAAAGTTTGCGCCTCCCTCCAGCAGTGTTTCCGAACCCCATCTTCATTTCTCGTGCACCAACACATACTTCGGAATCGATCGATTTTGTACTACCCTAGTGGAGTGCTGAATGAGACATTCGATCTAACGCGATCTACTTGTGTTTTGCTCGCTAAAGCAAAACCCCATGGACAACGACTTAGTTAAGCGAGGCAGCAACACTCCGGAACCGCCTCGGAGCAAAAAGCGCGCCAAATATACCCAGGTCGCTTGGTGCGCTAATCCTCCACAGATGGTTTATTGGCTTGACTGACCTGACTTCCTTAGCAATGAGTGTAAGCGACGGAAGCTGAAATGTAGCGGGGAGCCTGTGTGCTCCCGCTGTGCGAGAGACAATGTCCGTTGCGTTTACGCCCCGAATGCTCACGTTGTCGCTAGCACGGCTTCTCCTTCGGTCGAGGATCCTGTCAAAGATGAAAGGTAATCCTTATCCTGGCCAGCCGGAGGTTATTACTTACGAGATATGACAGATTGTCTAGTCGATTGCAGACCGTCGACCAGCAGATTGCATCCCTTCAGCGAGAAATGCGAGCCATGGCCGCTCGTCTTCGTCACCTGGAGTCAACATCGGTGACCACTCCAGCAAACAATACTAGTATACCCACCTCCATGTCGACTGTTTCTTCGGCATCGGTCAATACCGGACTGCAGCGGATTCTGAACCGTCCCAAATCTCCCAGCTACGTCGGTCCCACCAGTGCCGAGTTTGGCCTCACTGCGCGGCAGAAGGCATCGGAGGACAGCGATGGCGACGCGGATGAAACCGACTCGGCAACAGCACCAAGCCCAGCGCCTGTTCAAGATTCAGAAGCCTTGTCAGGCGACCCTCTTCGGTGTATCGGCCTCACAGAGACCTTGCGACTGGTGACGGTCTACGAGCATACCGTTGGCCTGATCTACCCGTGCGTGGACCTCGACAGCGTGCGCGCGTACGTGGTCGAGTACTTCAGGAATGAGGGAGACGGTCACAATGAGACACACTCGCCCGAAAGTGGAGACCAGGATTGGTTCTTTGCCAGAGATGTGGAGGTATTGAAGATCATTGTAGCAACAGCCTTGTTAGCGGAGTCACACGGTCGCAGTGAAAGAGCGGCCTGGTTGGCAGACAGCGTCGAGGACCAGTTCGCTTCTCGGTACAAGATCCCTGAGGTGGATATGAAGGAGCTGCTTATCCTGACCTTGGTGGTGCGTTGACTCCTCAAGCTCCTGCTGTCCCAGCTAACCAATCAGTCCATATTCCACTCCTACCGCGACGACGAGGTGATTGCGTGGCGAACAATCGGATCCGCCATCCGCGGCGCCGTCCAACTCGGCCTACACTGTCAGGAGACGTGGCTAAGAACAGGGGGTGTATTTCCGGGCGAACTGCACAGAACATGGGCTAGCCGACTGTTCTGGTGCATGTACGTACTCGATCGGAAATGGTCGTTCGGAACGGGTCTGCCATTTGCCATCCAGGATTCCGACATGGACACGAACCTACCGGAGCCGGGAACCTCGACGCCATACCTGACCTGCATGATCTCATACGCACGACTGAGCTCCAAGATCTGGGGTCTTGTGGTCGGCTGGCGCACGCGCCCACGCGCCGCGACGGCAGACTACTGCTCATACCTGGACTTCCAAGTACAGCAATGGATCCAATCCATCCCGCCAGAGCTACGCTTCGATCCGTCGCAGCGATCATCATCCACCGGAGCCAGTGCACAGACAGACAGCATGATGATGCTTCAAGTGCTACTAGCACTGCAAGCGAACCAGCTGCGCATTCTCGTCTACAGACAGTACCTCCTCAGCACAGAGAGCATCGAAGAAAGTGTACCGAGTGCATCCATCGCCGTCGAAACGGCGAAAAGCACCGTCCACATGCTCGACTTCTTCAGCCGCGTTTCAGAAATTTACTTCCAACGTCCCGAACCATTCAACTACTTCCTCATTTCAGCCCTCGCTGCACTATTCCTTGCTGTACTCCACGCCCCCTCCCGATTTAGCCAAGTCTGTCGTCCAGAATTCTACAAAGCCGTCGACATGGTTCGCCGATCATCAACTCGTGCCCGCACATCCCGTCGTCTGCAAAAGATCATCCGGAGTCTAAAAATGATCCGCTCAAACTTGGGGAGTAAGTCACCCCGACAAGCTGGAGCTCAGCTACAGCACCAGCAACAGCACCCGCACCAGACACCCAAGCGACAGCCTTCAATATCTACGACCATGTCTGCAGCCGTACCTTACACCCCGGTGGATACACCCTACCCACCACATCCGCAGCACCAATCTTCGGGGTTTCACCCCGTTCATCAGCAGTCAGTGTCGGTGTCCGCGTACTGGCCCGCAACAGCAGCAGGAGGGAACGCAGCGGTTGATGATCAACAGGAAAGCTGCGAGGATCTAACGAGTTTCTTTGAAATGGCGGGCGGGCTCTACTTTGATCCTAGGGCGCAGGCTGAGGTGCCTGAAGCAGGAAATGGGAACGTTACTGGGCCTGATGGGGCAGGAATCGAGGCATTGAACGCAGAAGATGAGGCCTTGACGAGGGTCATGGCAGGGTTACTATAACTATAAGGAAATCACACAAAAATGGATGGTTGCGAAGAGGGATAGACACCTCAGGTTGGCCTGTTTGCATATTGCGCGGGTTCCTGTATCCATAGTTACACTCCAGACACTAACATATAGACTCATGTTCCGGGGACAACACCTCTTACGAAAGACAATACCTACCCACTAAGAAAGTCCGTAATACTCGATATGAACAGAGCACCACGTATTCAACTACAATATTACGTTCGTTACATTAAAACCGTTGCAAACAATTCACTGATCAGAGAACATTAGCTCGCTACCATTTAGTTCTAACACTCAAGATGAAAGTGGGACCGGTATATAGTATAAATAAGAACTTCCTCGTCTGCACCTCTGCTTCCTATCCCCCTTTCCCTCCTTGGCTAACTTTCGCGTTGCAAAGAGTGTACGTATGTATGAAGAGGTTGTTGCATCCTATTATAGTTATGGGCTGTGCGTTGCTGACAGAGTATGGGCGAGCAGCATCAGTACTACAACTACATCTTCTTATACTACCACTACCACCATAACCAACCACCATGTCTCCCCCGCACCAAGTATGTCATGAAGCACAACTACAACATTACTGCTTTCTCACACTACATTGTAGTCCATCATCGTCCAGAAAGGAACGTTTCTGGCCCCCGGGGCCCCGAACCCCCTCCCCGCCGGCAAGGCTCGCGCGCTTCGGCGCAAGGAAATGAAGAAGGTCAAGGCGAAGAAGGCCGAGAAGAAGAAGTTCGAGTCTGGGCGCGCGTCGGTGAAAGAGATGGTAAGCAATACCCGCTGCTTCCTATTCCTCCTTAGGGCAAGAAGAGCAGGGGCCGGGCTAACTACGGATGACATTTCGGGATATTTAGATTGCGGAGGCCGAGCGCCTCGATAAGGCCGCTGCTGTTGAGGAGGAGGAAGCGCGGAAGAAGCGAGTCCGCGCCGCGAATCTGCGGGCGGCAGTGGCGGTTAAGGAGAAGGAGAAGGATGAGAAGGAGGAAAAAGAAGAGAAGAAAGAGAAGAAGGAAGAGGAAGAGGAAATGCTGATCAGCTTTGAGGATGAGAGTGAGCAGATGATCATCGAAGAAAATATGTAGATTAGATAGTATCAATTGGATCCATTGTGGGACAGCTATGCTATCTCTATATCTCTTTCTCCATGTCACTGTTTCAACTAATTCTTACAGTGGAATCCCGGCTGACGTGAATATGACGCATTTCCGGAGTTCTAGAGGTAGGACAGGTACGACAGATGATAAATGAGGGGTTCGGGTTGATTCATCAGGTAAATTGGATACATAAATCTTTGTTAGGAGTCGCACATCTCTATCATAAGACCTACTGGACGTTGATGCCATGTCCTTCGCTGCCCTCAAGCCAACTTGCATCGTCTGTGGCACGGAGATTGATGGGCGGCATCGCTGGGCAAAGCATTTCCGGGCAGGTGAGCTCGAGCTTAACTCCTCCCCCCCCAAGTATCCTTGGGATCTTCTACCCCAATCCCTCTAACCCATCCGTCAGTCTACTGCTCCTCGACAGGTGTGAGGGTGACGGTGCCCTTGTGCCTGGCACCTTCTCATCCTGCAGTCCGTATCCCAGCCGATGCGGTGACGGATGAATGGGTTTCCGAGAGGATGCCCGAGCATGACCAGACCGATCTGTACGTGTTCCATGAGCCCTGCTGGAGACGCCTGATCAGCCATTTCAGTCCCACAGAGTTCGATGTGGGCTATGTTTTTGAGGCGCTAGAATATTTGCCACTGCCCTGGCTACATGGTTTTCATAAAGTCGCACCAACGAACTTGAAGCCTCCTTACATGTGGGAGGCAGTGGATGAAGGACTTGGACATCAGCCTGATTATGCCAACCTGGATGACCTCATGCGATTTGCAAAAGCACTACCGAGCCCCTGGCGTCCGGTGATGTCTTCTGCTCCATTCGTTGCAGACCTCTTCCAGCGACTGCCACTAGAGCTAATCGAAATGATTGCGGTTCTATTGCCCACGCGGGACGTACTACATCTCCGCCAGGTGTCACGCGGGGTGGCCCCGGTCTTCAGCAGCTCAGCCTTCTGGAAGACACGTTTCGACTTGAACGCGGAGCGCGGGTTTCTTTGGCCAGTCGTGCGAGACATTATAAACACAGCGAAGGGCAATGGATTTGATTGGAGGCTCCTGTACCACTGCACTTGTCATCTCACCTGCAGCCAATGGTTTCGCTTAGAGCTGAAATCTTGGGAGGCGCTCCGGTGGCTTCGGGATACAGCCCTGGCTTTAGCCTCCGGGGCGCCCCGTCCGCTCGACTATCGCGGTGATGTCTTACATTACTACCATAATGCCAGGATTGGAGATACGCACCTCGAGGTGATAGACTGCGATTCTCGGGTCCTTTACATTGCGGTTTCTGCACATGATGATTGCGGCTCACATTATGACCCTGGGTCTGTGTGTATCACAGGACTGGAGTTCTTTTTCGAGGATGGGACAACGGCGATCTTGGGTTACACTTCGCCCGGAGCAAAGAATATTCCCAGAAAGAAGTGGAGAAATACTGAACGGACAAGAATGGCCCATCCTAGAGTCAGAGTTATGATGGATCTGATCGACTTCAAAGGAATCATGGTGACGCATACACATGATGGGGTTAGTGGTGTGCTTATGTTACAAAGCCTTGATGAAGAGAGAGAAGCACGCCGTAAACGGCGGAAGTGTTGTGTGGGGAAGAGGGACTACTTTCATCAAGCTTATCAAGGTTTACGCACTTGTTCTCTGGAAGAGGTCTCACAAGTCGTGGCGGTATTTAACGTAAGTATATAAGTTCCATTTTACTCTCCCTATTTTCTTGTGTTTCTTGTCTCATCATGATTCCCTTCTCTGTATACTAAGAATGGATCATCAGAACCACAGATTGATAGACCTTGGTATACGGGGCCGAACAGCAAAGCGAAAACCGCAATTGTCGGAAAGACAGCGAAGGTCGGAAATCAAATTCTTCAAAGCACACGGCAATCTTGCAAGAGGTTTGGAGTTGAGATAGGTGTTGGATATCTAGTAACTTGAGACGAGTTAGCAATTTAAAACCACACACATGCTACGGAATATCAATCCGTGGCCCCACCAGGGCCTTTGTGGCTGTTGTAGTCTTAATAACTCCCACTCATAAATGCGTCATACTACCTGCTTTATTCGTTGCGGAGATCACCGTAGAGAACGCGTCCGTTGCTGAGATATCTGAGTCTAAAGCCTGTGTTACACAAGCAAGCTACTCAGTCTGCATTCACTCACTGTTTGCTCAAATGTTTGCAAGTGCTAGGATACTATAGATAATTTCAATACCAGCCTTCCCCTCCGTCCTCTTCCCTCCTCGTCTACCGTGTCATTACCAAGTTTGAACCATCAAGGTAAAAAGCTGGACTTTTCATCGCACGATTCAATCACCCAACATCAACAATGGCACATCACGGACAACCTCAGCCAGTGGAACCAGTGGACTCATTCTGGGATGAGCCCATCTGCGAGGACTACCTGGCACCGATCTACCCCAGCCCAGACGACTTTCGCAGTGTCGATCATTTCTGTCCCATTCTTCTCCGCCATTACTTCACTCAGGATGATAACTGTGGGGTCGAGAGCGAGCGATGCACCACGCACCCAAGACCCAGACAGCATCTGAATTCCTTCATTGTCCACCTTGCTCCTCCTCCTCATCTGCGACGGCGCCGGGTCATTGCCGTCGAGGCTAGGTGGTTTCCTTCCGACACTTCGCCTGGTTGGGAGAACAACTACGACTGGACGGATGTCCGGGAGACGCTCCGGGCCCATATGCTCTCCGATTGGACCATGCGGACGAGAGTGCAAGCCACGTACGGCATCGTGGCAGTTGGCGATCGCGTTCGCTTTTACTACATGTCGAGGACTGATCTTGAGCGTGAACTTCGTACCTGGAATAGCCATCCTGTGGATGCCCCAGGGGCGGATGAGTCGCCCATCTTGAACATTCATAGCCTTGTTGACCAGAGAGTGATTCATCATCTGATGCTTCGTATGCGTCAGGATATTCTCTCTAGGTGCAATAACTACTAGGCAAGCAACGATCACCGGGATTGATGGCTCTGAACACTGGCAGGACTAAGTGATAGTTCTTTTAAAGCTTGAACTAGGGTCTTGTATTAGCAGGTCTAACGTGCGGTTCTTGTTAAACCAGAACTTAAGGGCGTGTATCTAGCTGCTCTCTGGTGTCGAAGATGATCGTTGCGTTCAGGATACCGTTAATTCCAACCTAGAGAGTTCCCTTCGGGGCTCTCTCTGGGGCACCTTTTCTTCGGCAGTGCCGTGGGCTGGGAGTCTCGGGGGGGGCTATAATGTATGGAATCATATTAGGGGGTGCCCATCTTCACGACTGCTCTCAAGTTGAATAAACCCGCTATCTGCTATCGCTCTGATACTATGCTAGTCTTTCTTCCTACATTGTAGGCATAGAGCTCTTAACACTCATCATGCTCTCATGATGTCCACTCACTCCCTCGCCAGTGCCTACGGGGCAATCTCGCCCGAGATCAGCGCTCGGCTCAACTCCAGTTGTGGGGGAGATCGGCAGCTGCGGGCCATTTCCACGGCCTGGAAAATACAATTGGACCATAAGACTTCTCACTCCGTCAGTTCCCTTTCTTCCATTTTGGCGTTTGATCTATCTAAGCATTCTCAAAATGTAGTGCCGTTGAGACTGTGCCACAGCAGGAAATGTTCCCGACTTTGCAGGCACTCCGGCTCGGAGACTCTATGGATATGCCTTTGGTATTGCTTGGGATGTTGTTCTTATGGTCTAGTGTTCTTTTATTCTGCTGGTGATGGATATTCTACGAAGCCTTGTGCGGGGTTGGTTTGGTTGTGTTCAGGTCGCCTGCTCAGGGTGATCGTCTTGGCTACTTGTGCCCGACGAGTCAGGGCTTTGAGGTGCCCGGGCAATATCACTACATGAGGACTAGTCTAACCACGATTCCTGAGGCTTTGTGACCTCCACGCCTGTGGCGAACGAGTCTATGCCTCATATATGTAACTTTGCTGTAGCACACACCAACATCAGAATATTATATTATTTACACGTGTAAGAAGACTCTATATTTACATACCCTGTCCCAAGGAGCCTAGACTCGAGCAGGTAAAATCAGTAGGAAATGTAAACGCCCATATCTTAAGACTGAGGAATGGCGGAAGCCATCATAAAATCAATTTCTCCCTCCACCATCCAACTCAGCGATAGGAAACTCCGAAGGCAACTCTGCCTTCATATCCCTTCCTGAGGCCGGCAATTCCACCTGCTCTGTCATGAACGCCCCTGTCCTCGTCGCAGGCAGCTCATTCACTCTCTGTACCCTATATCCCTGGTCCGGTGATTGATAAGCCTGATGATTTGCAGACGAGGCGTTCACTTTCCGTCGGCGCAGGAAGAAGAGTAAGAGACTTATAGCCAGCACCGCACCCGCTGCGACACCGACGCCAATACCTGCTTTTGCTCCGGTCGAGAGGCCTGATGAGCTGCTGGATGAGGTGGACGTGGGTGATGTTGTGGAAGAGGTAGCAGTCGCAGGTAAATCCCCGGATGATCTTGTAGATGTTGATGTGGCTGCCGGGGTGGTGAAATCCGTCGACTGCCATCGGATAGAAATACCGTATCCGTTGATGTGTCCTGGGCTGGACAAAGAGCTGGAGGTGCTGCTCGTAGATCCGGCCGTGTCGGTCCAGGTGTAGGCGAATTCAATCTCGGTGGATTTGCCGGGTTCCCAGGTGCAGACTTCGAGCTCGGTCCAGCCGGGGGTGTAGGTGGTTCTAGTGGAGTATGTTTGGATGCCGATGCTGGAGGCGACAGCCAGTTGTGTCAGTTGGTACTGCAGGTGTTGAGAAAAGGTGTGTAGTATGGATGGAATGCTCACGTCGGACAGCACATCGCCGCCGTCTCGGTAATAGTCCCATCAATCACGATATTACTGGCTGCAATGCGATATCCGGTAGGACATAGTCCCGGCGAGAAATAGCTGGATACATCCCAGCCCGAAGGAACACATTCAGCTGTGTGTGCTGGCCCCAGGTTCATCCATGTTTTGGAGCTGCTGCTGACGAGCCAGAAATCGCTGATACATGTGCTAGGAGGGACGGACGAAGGTTGTTGTTAAGGGAATGGGGGCTGAGGCTGTAGTAGCTGCGGATGTTGTTACGCCTGCTGACATGGTGGAATGGGGGTCGAAAGGGATGCTGGGAGCATCAACAGAGGTTGCATTTGGTTGTGTGCCGTGTGAAGAGGAGTTGAGAAAAGGGGCGTAAGCTGATCAGACAGAAAATCTCCAGACTTGGGGCATGCTGGAGACCCTTACTCGGCCTTATGCAGGTTCCAAGATGGTTGTGCTTAGCGTGGACTCGGCACTCTTTGGGGGCCAAATGAAGAATGCATGAAATTCAATTGTGATTGGCTAATATTAGGTTTTGTTGATGCGCCCCGCCGGGTTTATAATCCGAGATGGTTCTTTCCTGTTAAAATAGTACTTGGAATTGTATGAATTGACAACAACTTCATATCCTCATGAAACTTGATGGTGCCAATTTTGATAAGCTTTTTCACTGGCCTGCTTCTGTCTATCGATAATCCTAATCAGTAATTATTGCACTCCCATCACCCATAGGCGCTTATGAAGAAAGATGAGATGACAATTTCCGGATGCGACTTACCACCCTGGTCACTCTGGTCACACTCTGGATTTTCAGAAAACTTTAGAAAATATCAGACATACTTCTTATACTCTTTTCTGATTTACCGCAAGAATTTTGGGTAGTCAAACTCCAATCAGTCTCAGCCTCCTCGGAATCATTCTCCTTCGGGACTGTAGGCCCGCACTAGCAGAATCTTCACCGCTCCAGTTGATCGCTGCCTCAGACTAGAGTCAATGCCAAAGGCATTACTGGGATGTTACCCTCGCCTCTCTGGACAATCAGTAGCTATAAGTATATCAAATCTGAGGTGTCTGATTAGGCCTTGTAGTTTAAATGGCCACATCGATGATCTGTACGGCTCAAAACCGTGGTCCCTGCTAGGTTTCAGCACGATAACTATTGGTTATTTATTTCAAGCGGAGACACCAAGTGCATACCATTAAGCTGACTGGAATTGAACTAACATATACAACAATATAGCCATGCTAAAATCTTCGTTTCTGACAACTACTAGCGGATCCTATAATTTTGTTCCGTCAAGAATTAGGTTCACTCAACACGTTTTGTATAGATGCGACGAGCTTCGGTGTCACTCTTCACTCCCACGGAATCAGGAAAGGGTGCAATCCATCTCAACTGAAATATCCAGTAACAGTAAGGATGTCAGTAGAGAGCAGGGATGAAACGCCCTGCATGAAATTGGGGCTCAGCTGCGTATCTACCCTCAACCCCCTAGTCAGCCAACGGCACTAGAGACGATGACCAGTACACCCAGTCAAATCATGAAAGACACTCAACGTCTCATAGTTTGTATCATTCCCTTGCGCCCCAACCAGCCCAAATCAAAGCTTGACAGCCTGTAACTTCCTACCTGCGGAGCACCAAGCGGGAGGAAAAGTGGACCTCGCGCTGCTGATCTCCGTGCCGGCACTCACAGCATCCTGACACCCGAGGGGATACTTTCCGTCATGAATTCCTTCTACAGCCATGGTCTAGAATGTTTTGTTTATATCAAAGCTGTGCCAAGCATTGTCCGGAGAATCTTTGCCGGCCATCTACACCGTATCTTCATGGCATGATGCTTCACCGTAGTTTAACTGAAACACCCGGAGCTACAGTGGGGATGAAGACTCCAGAATCTCCGCTAAAGTGGGACATGGGAGATGATCATCAACTTAGTCTACTTTTAGGTTCGATTTTTCATGTCAACACCCGCGCACATGCTGCAAAACAGTAGTGCTGGTCAAGCGTGTTCATTCGAATGGCCGAAGAACATCTCTTTCAAGTATGAATATCATCATTGGTGGGGTGGAAAACACGGACAGCCGAGTAGGATCTTGACACGGGACAGATACCCATGCATTTGAAGCTAAGTAAGGCTGATCTCACAATAGTCAGTGGATCGTATAACTCACTAAATAGTAGTCCATGCTTGGCAGGACTGGCTGTCTTGAGCCAAGAGCCCGTCTTATTTTTGTTATTATTTTGCTATACCGCGGGCACACGTCTTCGCGAAGTGCCTTTTACTTTCTTACCACATTCTTCACTTGTCTCTGCCCCTGGAGCGATCAAATCACTACCAAAAAATCAACAAAACCAAAATGGGCTGGTTCCCAGTCGGTCTCGAGGGGGGAGAGAACAAATGGAAGTTCGACATCATCCCTCTGCTGGCTGTCATTGGCAGCTCAGCAATCCAAAAGCACATGCAGGCTATTACAGCCTCTCCCTTCGCCATATTTCCCCGGTTAATGCCCGCCCCTGAATCGCTTCTCGACACAGAGCGACCGACGCGACCACCATCTGTCAAGGACGTCAAGATCGTCGGTGTCAAATCAGGCATAGAATTGGATGAGCTGAATTTCTTTGCGAATCTCATCCACAATGTGAATGACATGGAAGAATATGAATTTCGCGTCTACAAAATCAGCTACGCGACGCGTGATTCCGAAGAAGGACAGGATTCGAAGATAGCATCAAAGGTGGAGGAGAGTTACCGACGAGTCAACAGGCATCGAATTCCAATCAAACTCAAGACCTTTTGCTGGCTAAATTTCGTCACTCTCGTCTCTATTCTCATCACGATTGGCCTCTATATCTGGGCGGGCTGCATTCATGACGGCACCGCCCTCGTCGGTCTGGCTACCATGTCTTTGTCGACCAGTGTAGCCAGTCTATCGGCGCGCTGGTATCCGCGCCTCAGTGGACGTTCTTCGCAAGCAGAGGTTCCTAGTGGGGATGTGATTATTCGCACCAGGGCAGGTGCTTTTATTCTTGTCTATGGAGATGACGATGTGATCCGCGAGTTGTACGAAGGAATGGAGGACTGCGAGTACATGTTCAAGGGGAACACGCATCATCGACTGCTAGGAACTAGCACGTTACTGCTCATGGCATCAATTATCCTGCTGAGTAACTGCGGTTCAGAGATGCAGATTGCCATCGGTGTCGCTTACATCATCCTGAATGCCCTGTACTGGCTGTTAGCGTTGCTGGTCGAGCCGCGCGATCTGTGGGATATGAGCAGATATAAGATTGAATTTGTCGAGTGTCGTCCGAGTACCCCCGACTCGAGCTATACTGAGACGTTGTGGGCCGTCATCAATATGACGGGAAGTGTGGAGTGGGTAGCTAATGGTGAATTGATTCCCCAAACACCAGCTTGGGATCAGTGGTTGCAGGAAGCCAAGGAGCATATTGGAAAGGACTGGGATCCTGTTAGAAGGAAGGACGAGTTGATGAATCCTAGACTGGCTTATCGCAATGGGCGGTGGTTTGACTGAGCCCGTTAGTATTTGTTAGATTTCATTCAAGACACGATTAGATTGGTCCGGAGCTCATAGATCAATTAATATATGTCCATGATACTGGTGATGTTTGCAAGTCCACTGGCATGTACCCTGTTGCCTTACTAAACATATCCGGGTTCCCAGGAATGATGTTAGTAGTTTGGCAGTCCAACCTTAAAAGTTTATTTCAGCATTGCATGCAAAACCTTGAATCTTGAAGAAAGGCTTAGCGAACACACCCAGGCCCACATATGGACTAAGTCATATAGAGCAAAGCCACCGGCTAATGATCACATTAGCGCTAAAACAAACATGGAAGGAGCCCCTGGCAGGCGTCATACTAGCCCCCATATCTGTCCTAAAATGACTGCAAAAAAGGCCTTGGGTCAAGTCTGAGTATGGGAAGGCGTATTGAGAGACTGTATTGCTGCAACGGTTAATGCAGATGTATTTTAGGCCCATTTGCCAATCACATGACCTTGCAGTCTCTAAGAAGCAAACAGACGCAAGATGATACATTGCAGCGGGCATGGCATGCCACACCTTCCTTCCTTATTCGTCCGTTAGCCGCACTACATATTCTATGAAGAAGACCCTAGATAAAAAAAAATTAAATATTATTATCTTTTTTACTCATGTTTAATTCTTCTATATTAAAGTAGATATAGAGTACTGACCTATTCACTCCAGACTAGAGTAAACATGATAATATATTCTAATAATCTTTAGAAAGTTGTTTCTTTTTTATGTAATATACTACAGTCTACAGGAATATGTATTTTATCTTTTATTTTTATTAGATATAAATCTTATTTACTCTTCCGTCATCTACATTTATCAATTACCATAACAGTTAAAGATAAAAACAAGTCTTATCAAGATCTTTATTAAGAAAAAAATCTTTATTAAATATTATAAGATTAATATAAAGACTTCAAGTATTTTTATTATAAATATATCTCTCTACAAGTATATTATTTATATTCTATAATTACAAAGATACATTGTTTTATTATTATTTTATAATACATCTGGTTGTGTCTTCTGAAAAGAAACTATTCGCTACTAGAAAAATATTTTAAATACTTAATAAAAATTAAAAATTAAAAACTTCTTTTAATTAAGCTTTTAATTCTCTAATATATTAAATATTATTTTATCAGATATTATCTTCTAAACTTATTAAATTTAAATTTCTGAGTCTAGAGTACCAGTTACTGATAATAATATTATATTTTATATTCTGGAATAACAGATATTACAGATCTATATAAAGCTATTTCCAGTCCCTCTAATACTAGATATAATGAACTAGAAAATAATAATAGAAATAATAATTTAACTAAATCTAATATTTAAATTAATAATATTTTTTATTTATATTTTACTCAGATAATGAGAGCCTACAAATAAGCTGTAATACTAATATATTATATATAATAATACAGCTAGAAATATAGCTTATCCGATCTAGTAGTCCAGCTTGCCAGTTAACTATACTAAATAGATATTGGTAAGATATTTAGTATTATATTTATTTTATCTAGAAGTTAATATTTAAAAATTTATATTATAATTAATATCAGTCCCACTGACTCTTCTTATTTTAAATAAATTATCAAAGAATTATCTAAAATTATTATAAATTTTAAATATAAATCTTCTTATTATTTATTAAATAAGTGCGATATCTCGGACATACATAAGATTAATAAAATAAATACTAAAGAAAAAAAGTATGAATAGTAATATATTTATTATTAATAAATTAAAAAGTAAATTAATA